CTTCTCTGCTTTAGTTACTACCTTCCCTTTAAAGGAGGTTGCTCATAGCAGCTGGGTGCAGCTAATCTGTAATTGGCATTTTTACTGCTCACATTATAAGCATCACTGTAGGCATTATTGAGCTTTTTTTTCTTTGAACCCGAAGTGTTTAGTCATTTAAGCCATGGATTAGTTTTTATTTCTTTCGATTATTAGAGATGCGCTGACAATTGAGAGGAAGGAAATGAGTAAGAATGCTGCTAAAGTCGATTCGGGGAAGAGTTCAAAATCCTTTAATTTTATTATTATTTATGTATTTATTTTGGATTTTTCGAGACAGGGTTTCTCAGTAGCTATGGAGCCTGTCCTGGAACTCCCTCCGTAGACCAGGCTGGCCTCGAACTTACATAGATCTTCCTGCCTCTCAAGAGTTGGGATTAAAGGCGTGCAGCCGGCAAAATTATCTTTCTTTCAACCTGCTACATCGCTTGAATTTTCTTTCTTTTTTTTTTTAAATGAAACATTTAGATTTTTTATTTGAGTGTTTTGCTTACATGTATGTATGTGCACCACATGTATTCTTGGTGCCCATGGCCGTCAGAATAAGGTGTACTGGATTCATGGATAGTTGTGAGCTGCCATGTGGGTGCTGGGAATTGAACCCGGGTCCTCTGGAAGAGCAAAGAGTGCTCTTAACCTCTGAGCCACCTCTCCAGCCCCTCGCTTGAATTTTCAAATGTACCCAAAATCTACATAGCCGAATCAGTAAATACTACCTGTATATGAATGAAACAAGGTTTCAAATTCCTTTGAGTTCTTCATTTGGACTCTTGAAATAGAAACTGTTCCTAAAATAACCCTCCCAAGTGAGCAGAGATTTACATATACAGTAATCAAGCATTATTTTCCTCAAAATAATCCAGAGGAAACACAACAAAATGCCATTTTCCCCCTAAGTAAAAAGAAAAAGATTTTAATGTACGTATTTTAGATACTGTAGTGATCCCAAAAAGCATGACTATTCCAGCCATGTTATGCTTGTGGGGTTTTTTTTTCTTTTAATGAAAAGTGATCGTGATCATTACTTTAAAAATAGAAATTTTTAATTTCTATTTAATTTTTAAATTAATTTCTTAACCCAAACAATAATATTTTTATCTTTGGAGTATATTTAATCATTTAAAATTAATATCTGTAAGATTTCCATGTTCTTGAAACCAAAAAGTTGTAATCTCCAAAACTGAAATCAACACAAGCTGTGAGCTATAGGTCTCTCTATCCCTCTTAAGTATGTAAACTATAACACCAGTTTCCCTTGAATGTTACTAAAAGAAGGGGAGGGGGAAGCCAAATATAAAAACACTTTGAAGGTCTTGCTGAAAGCCTTAGCGGTGAAATTTTTTTTAAAGCTGGAAGTTACCAAGGTGGGAAGAATAAATTCAACTCTGATAAAGATACTGTACATTAATTATGAAGCCTTATCAATTGTGGACTCCATAAATCTTTCTCATTCGTATATTTAGTACTGACAACTATACAAAGATTTAAAACATTTGTCATACTTTATCTTACTGTGTCCAAGTCTTCAAATATAAGTTAGATTCAAGTAGTTTAATCATAGATAAATAAATATAATTATTAAAATTCCCCCACCTTTTAGTAGATATTTAATCCTGTCTTTTGACTTCCTTGGGAAACTGAGCACCTTATCACCTTATGCATATTTAACATGAATAGCATTAATTCTTGGTTAATCAAAAAAATAAAAAAAAGAAAGCAGCTAATACAAGAGCTAGAACAAAGACCAATAAGATCTTAGTAAAACCTTATGTAAGTTAGACTCTTTGACTAAAACAGATATACAGAGTCATCTTAAGATGTTTTCATAATAAAATTAACATTAAAAATCATTTTAATACCCCCTCTTAGTATGTACACTGTACACGTGCATAAAATCTATGCTAAAATGTGAGGGGAAATCTCAAATTATTATCAGTTTGAATATTTATTTGTTATAAACAAGTTTTAGATGGTTAAAGGTGGTTAAAATATAGTTTGGAAATTAGACAAACCCTACGTAGAACTTACTTCATCTATTTAGAGGTGAAATTGAGTGGTTTTCCTATGTACCCCCGTATCTTAAACAATTACTACTTTGCTAAACAAAAAAATGAGAACGCCCATGATATCTACTTGAATATTCATGATATCACTGTTCTCATTATCAAACAAATTCAACAAATTCTACAACTGAGAAAGAAAATAAACCAGATAGTTCCAAGTACTATCCCCAAAGTTTCAGATAGCTTTTTAATAGAATATTCAAACCACACAAATACCTCCCCATATTATCTAACTGCTTGGAAACAAGTTACTTTATAATAAACTTAGTTCAAAGTATTCATGTAACACATGCAGTAAAATGCCTCGACGGCAATGAGCACCAGTTTGGAACTGAATTGTTAATGCATGTCTCATAGCCTTGAATGATGCAACTGGAAGTTTAGATTTTGTTCAGATGACCATGAAGCAAGACCTCTGGCGGCTGATGTATGAGTGTCTTCTCCCTATACCAATCAGGAAGAAGAAACAACAAGACAAAGCAAGAAAGACTGTTGGGCTTCTTGCTTACATAACAGAATATTCATGTCCCCAATTGAAATAGGGATATGGGAGAGATGTAGGTTCCGGGAGTAGGAGAAAGGTTGGATTCAAGTTTAGACGCTAAGTTTGCCATGGCCGCAAGAAATTTGATTATGGGGAGTCTATAACAGTTATATATTTTTATTTTCATTTGGACTTTAAGAGAGAACAGTCTAGCAGGCGGTGGTGGCTCACGCCTTTAATCCCAGCACTCGGGAGGCAGAGGCAGGAGAATCTTAAGTTTCAGACCACATGAGGCTTCATAGCAAGACCAAGTCTGTAGAAGCCAAAATGAGGTAATAGAGATAATTCAGGGTTTTGTATCAGGATGGTTGCAGCCAAAGCAGGGTTGGGAACTTACCAGATGAACACCCGAATGTTAGTTGTTCAGAGTTTGCTGGATCTGTGGTGTGTGTGTGTGTGTGCAGGCTGCGTGCGCCTGGCTAACACTTCTGGGTCCTAGAGATAAGACTCAGGCCATCTCACCAGCCCACACAGTGTTAATTTTTCTTGGGGGCAGGCAGGCTGGTTAACACCATTACACCTTCCTCCCTACATCACAGAGGACTTCTGAGTCTTTTCCTCTACTCCTTTATAAATAAATGGATGAACCCACAAACTACACTTGGGGACTAATAGGGAAGATTGGGGTTCTAGAAAGGCACCTGTATTCCATACACCATGGGTTGTTCTACCTGCTGTATTCCCGGTTTATCTACTAAAAAGAGCCAAATGGGGGGGGGGGGGGGGGAGGACGGGAAAACAACCAAGACTTATTTGTTCTAACTTTTCATTGTGCATAGGAGGAAAAAAAGGTCATTTTGGTTTTCAGTTAAGAGTAAATAATGTACTAACATGCTACCATGAAACATTTATAAATGGTGCTAACAAATTCTGTGTAAATGTTATATACACCTATGTGTATATGCCATGTACACCTACACGCCACTTTGTAGTATCATGTTTATATCTAGGAGAATGGCAAGATTCAGGCTATGGTTAAATCAAAATCTGAGGAAACCACATCCCCAAGTAGGTGGCCCTTCATTTTAATACAAGTGATAGGTCCTGTCTCTTAGATCACATCTCCTCATGTTCAGATGACAGATGCTCACTAAAGACTTATATGCAATGTTTTGGTTTGTAAACTTACCATATGCAAAAAATAAACACTCACGTTTGTAGTGATATTTTATTTGTATTTTAATAAAGTGTGCCTGAAGATCAGAAAGGAAAAGAGCCACACTGGTCAGCCATACAGACCAGGCAGTGGTAGCACACACCTTTAATCCCAGTAGCCACACAAGTTCACCATAGAGGCCGGGCGGTGTTGGTCACGCCTTTAATCCCTGCACTAGAGAGACATTCAGTCTGAAGATTTGACAGAGGTAAGAGCTCTCTAGTGACTGGCTGCTCTGCTTTTCTGATCTTCAGGCTGAACTCCAATATCTGTCTCTGGATTTTTATTAATTGTGCTACACGTTAGTAAAAAAAATTTCCTCTCAAAATTGACTCTGCGTTCTATCAGACTACGCTTTTAACTGACATTAATTGGATTACAGGCTAAAACTTTAACATGAAAGGAAGAAATGTCAATTCCTCATAAGTTCTGCCACAGATGTACAATACAGTCTTGGTGAAGATGGTTTCTCCTTGGTACGCAGCAAACAGAGATAGTCTTGGTGTTGGGTACACAGATCTTCCAAAAAATAATTAGTATATTTGGCGGCTTACATTTTGACAATTCATGAGTTACAATGATAGGATTTATTTATTTTAGGTCCCCCCTCCTTCCCCCGCAATACAGGAGATCTGTCTGCCTCTGGCTCCTGAGTTCTAGGATTAAAGGCATATAACACCTCCTGTTTCTCTCTGGAGTGTTAGCTGCCTAACAAAGGCCTAGAGCAAGCCCTTCAAACTTAGTGTTTTAAGGCCACAGAAAGCTACCTAATCATATCGCTTCTCCACAAAGCTGTCTGTGTTGTTTTAAACATTCTTTGTAAACAGAAACAGCTCTGCACACTTCTCACTCCTACACTTCTCAGTGAAATCCCAAGTCCTCGTTTCATTGCAAACTCTCCACATAAAGCATTTTGCATGACTTGGTAACCAATGTTAACAGTAACCCAAACATATTTATCCAACTTCTATTGCAGGTAGTATTTTTGTTAAAATATAGATGCTAAGTCCCAATTCATACTGATAATTAAGAAACACAATACCCTTTTAAACTTACTTAAAACAAAATGAAAAATCTTGTTCTCCAGGGCAGATTCCTAACACTTTCCTGGCCACAGATGTACTTAAGAGGTGCCATCTTTGAATGGAAACATCAACAGTAAGATTCCTCATTAGTAATTTAATAATGACATCCACAAGCCAAACTTGAGCTGTTTTAATTAGAAAGTTTTACACATAAATTCCCTAGTCAATATTTAGTTGGTTATTCTAAATGACCAAAATAATGAGCGACATATCACAAGAGTTAAAATTTAACCAATAGTTAAAAAGCTTACAAAGACCTACAGTCATGCAAAACCGTACTTTCTTACTGCTGTATGCTATGGGGTTATAACTTCCATGGAACATATCTCATGACTTTTGTTACATTTATACACTGGACAAACCATAAAAAAGAAAACAATGCTTAAAACATTTATTATAAAAGTGTGCTTTATTATAAGGAAATTTTAAATATAACCAACAATACTGAAAATGACGTAACTGGCATTTATAGCCTTGGTTGGAGTTCTTCATTCGACAGGCATTCATTTACTGTTCCATGAACGCTAACAATCAGCTTATGCAATGCAACAAAAGAGAACTTGGAAAAGGGAATAAGGAACACAGAATGATGAACCGGGAATTCGGGTGGTGTTTTTCTTGTTTTTCTGTTTTTGGAATTTTTCCTTCTTTAATACATGGCTTTTGAAAACATGTTACCTTCATGTAGAGAGCTCTTTCTCCTACAGATTTTGCAAAAATAGTAGTATTTTAAAACATGACTAAAGCTATAGTTTACATACTTTAATTTGTTTATGCATTATCCAATTAACATTCTAGCCATGTTTTCATGTACATGTATGTGGACTATAAACATTCCCTTATAAGATCATGACAGCCATAGATGAATTTCACATCTATAGATACCTCTGTTCTTTAGAACATGTTTCCCAAAGTGAAATTACCCATTTGAAGGTGAACAACAACTGGTGAGAACTAATGTCTCTAGACATTTGGTCATCGGGCCTGAAAGTCGTGTAAAAGTATATTGCTTTGGTTGTTTATAACAATTCATCATATCTGGCATAAAAATAAGCATATAAGTGACCAAAGAAAACCTAGTAAAATTTTGTACTTTGTGTACTTTTTACTCTGAGTTGACTTTAAAGCTAAGGACAAGGCCTAATGATACGTAGTACAGACAGAAATTCCATTACTCATTATGTATGGCTTTGCTTATATACAAACTTATTTCCACCACTGTAGTAGAGTTTTTAAGGATTGGAAAAGACAAAATACACTTGATTGGCTGCTGATCAATGAGCTTGCCGGTTAGCGATTATGACAAGGAATTAAAAAGCAAAAAAACATGGGCACAGACATGGGCACCGGGCTGTAGTATGCAGACCATAAAGAGCAAAGAAATATCCTGTGGGTATGTGGATAAGAATCCCAAACGATTTTTCATAGGAAAGTTTCCCTTTTTCAAAACATAAGATTTGGAACATTAAGAGGACAAAAAAATGTTCGATTAAGTTTAAATAGCTTAAAAAAAAATCTTTGTCACGTTAAATGTCCAAATGCAATTTATAAAGAATACAGGAGTTGCAAAAATCAAAAAGGAAGCAGTGACACCATATATTTGATGATGAGAAATGTGTTTATGGGCTGAGCAGTGGTGGCACACGCCTTTAATTCCATTACTCAAGAGGCAGAGGCAGCCGGATCTCTCTAGTTTGAAGCCAGCCTGGCCTATAGGGTGAGTTCCAGGACAGCCAAAGAAATGTCTTGCGGAAGAAAAAAAAAAAAAAGAAAACTTCATTTATGATCTTTCATCTTAAAAGACTCTCTGCCCAATTATCATATCTAAGTTGTCAAGTCTCAAAAGCCACGCAGTTACGTAGGCTACTCACCGACATTTGTCAAAGAAGTCAAAACGTACTTTATTGCAAAAATATAAAAAATTTTTAAATTGCATATGACGTTTTATACCATTTCACCAGTAGGCCAAGGCTAACACATAACTTATCAAGCCAGAAAAACTAGAAAATGAAATGACTGACATTTACTGGATGATGGATTCTAAGAATGTGATGTCATGTTAAGTCACGTGAGTCATTACCAACTTCCCTCTTCAATGGGAGAGTCACTAATTTGATACTTGAATAAATCAAACACACAGATTGGCCTATGATTACATCTTTTAATTATCTTATTAAACATGTACGCTTTCAATATATTATAACCATTTGAATAAAACTTTCAAATAATTTTATGGAATAAAAAGTCTTTTATGAATATGTTGATTTTTTTTAATGAACTACCCATTAGAAAGTGATGTTAAAGCCTACTGACTATTAAATCACTACTGTTTACTGATACATTGTAAATGTTTTTTTGTTTAAAAAAGGAAAATCCAAAATCACAAAATGCTTGGCATGTACACAAACACATTCTCAGTGGACTAACCACTACAGCGTAACTGTTTCACTAATGCTCTTTCCGCTCCGTACTTCTGCTTCATGCAGTGGGCTCAACAATATCCATGTTTGTTCCGAACAGTGCAACTAATTGTTCTTCATAGGTGGCGATGTTCCTTTTCATAATTTCCATGCAAGGTCCCAAAAGCCTTTCAAATGCTTGCACATCCATGGCTAAGAGAAAAGAAAAAATAAATAAATTGAAAATACCATTCCTTGCCTAACTCCGAAATTCCTAAGCCATTCCTTTCTACTATGATACTGCCATTTTGATATGTTAACAACCCAAGAGAATTTTTAGTTGGATATTATAAAAATATGACAAAAAAGTAAAGGTTAAAATGTTCTGCTTCAAAAAAGAAATAGGACCTTTGCTGGTTACAGTCTGGGATGCTTTGACGGATGAAGGACCTGTGGCGGAGTTGGTGGGAGGTGCCTGATCCACATTGGCGAAATGAGGGTCTAACCTGGCACAGCCTCTGGGCTTTCAAAGATAAACATAGCCCCCTTCCCCAAAAGTGGTACAAGAGTGTTTCTTTTCCTGTTCTCAGAGCGTACAGTAGCATGGTATGAAGATTTTTAGACATTCATACCACTGTCTATGCAATTCAAAATCGTGATCAATATGATGCTTTTTCTGCAACTATCAATATATGTATCACTTTGCTTGTCTGCCTCAAGCATTTTATTTTGTGTTTTTGGTTTTGAGACTGTTTGGTTTATGTAGTTCATTCACAGTGACCTTCAACAAGACCTTGAATTAATGATCCCACACTTCAGGTGCTGGAATTACAGACAGGAGACACCAAACATGGATGTCTCCTGTATTTTAAAAGTTGGAGTTTACAATATACTGTTTAACATATCAAAATCTATCTCTCAAATTTGCATAGGTAAAAAAGGTCAAGTTTGTAAGGCTTCATGGACATTCTTGCATGGCACATTAGTAAAAATAAAATAAATTAGTAAAAATAAAAGTGGCCTGTATGTATTGAGTCATTAAATAGGCAAATGAACTACTTCTTAAAACAAGTAGTCAAAAAATACATAAAAAAATAGCCATCTGAGAAATGCAGATCAATACTACATTGAGATTTCCCTCTCACCCCGTCAAAGCATCTATCATCAAGAAACAACAAAAGTTGACAGGCTTTTGAAGAATGGAAGCCTTGTCCACCGTTGATGAGATCAATGAAGCCACTAGAAATAGGTATGCAAGTTCCTCATTAAATAAAACTAGACCCACCATTTTTATCCAGGCTCTCCCCTCCTAGGCATGTCGGAAGGAGCCAAAGTCACCACACAGTGGAGATACCCACTTGCCCTTGTATAGAGCAGCAGCATTCACAATAGCCAAGCCATGGACTCAGCCTCAGTATCCATCAACAAATGGAAAATAAAATGTATACACACAATGCACTGCTACTCAGCTAAAAAGAAAAACACATTGTGACATTGGCAGAAAGATGAACAAAGCTTAGAAATATCATCTTAAGTGGAGCAGACACTTTGTTTTTCTTCAGATGGAGCGGGGAGAAACATGAAAGCGGAAGGGGACTATTTGAAAAGGAGAATGGGATCAACAGGGAGAAAGAGAGGGTAATTACTGTGAATATGCAAAGCACGAGCTACTCGTGAAAGGGTTTCAACTTTATACAAGTTAATATGTACTAATTAAAGAAAAATCATCTTAAAAGACCTAGTCAGAAAACCATTCCTAAGGCAAAAGTCACCTCTGCGCTTGGAGGTAGTGGCACACGCCTTTAATCCCAACACTCGGGAGGCAGAGGCAGGCGGATCTCTGTGAGTTCGAGGTCAGCCTGGTCTACAGAGTGAGTTCCAGGACAGTTAGGGTTGTTACACAGAGAAACCCTGTCTTGAAAAACCAACAAACGAAACAACAACAACAACAAAAAAAACATATATACACATACAAATTGGACCCAAAGCTCATAAAACATTTACCAGTGAGTGGTTAGATCATTTATCATGCATATATTTACCTCTTCCTAATAGAATATAAAAAATGTGATATATTAATAAAATTTCTATAGTGAAAAATTATTTAAAAACAGAAAACTATGCAAATCCAACAGAAAGGAATTACGACAGAGGAAGCCATGGGCAGATGGTGATGACATGGGTGTGTCTTAGAACTTCCTATGTTTTTCTATACTTCCTGTATTTCTCCCATTTCCTTTAACATGATTACAACGAAATAAGTAAGCACCTTTATCTTACAGTCAACATCTTTGAGGAGACTGTCAGTTTTGTCTTCCCTTTCATCAGAGGATTGCCGTACTAATACTGCACTTTCTGAGGACCTTTTACAACATGACCCTACAAAGAATTCATTCCGAGGAACCTTGCAAATCGTAAAAATCACCGAAACTAAATTTTATCTTTTTGAATTGGAACATGAAGGGGATTATTATTGAATCAATTTTTAAAAAATATGTATTTATTTATTATGTATACAATATTCTGCCTGTGTGTATGCCTGCAGGCCAGAAGAGGGCACCAGACCTCATTACAGATGGTTGTGAGCCACCATGTGGTTGCCGGGAATCGACCTCAGGATCTTTGGAAGAGCAGGCAATGCTCTTAACCACTGAGCCATCTCTCCTGCCCTGAATCAATTTTTAAAATGTCATTTATGTTTCTATTTTCTAAACCATGTTCTTCATTACCTGAGTGATTTCTTAGACAAAAAAAAAAAACAATCTCCGTAGATACCAACTGGAAGTGGTATGTCTGCCAAGCTCCCTTGGTAGAACCAAGCCATAACAATCACAAACAGCAATTGATTATGTGCGGACAGACCTGACCGCCGTCCCAGGGGCCAGGGGTATGGCTGCGTATCTTCACTGGCATTCCATTTTCCCAGAGAGCTTAATAATGAACTTCACAAAAAATGCCATTTTAGGCTTCTCTTTTGAGGAATACAATGCATGGCATTTTCTTGACAGGTTAAATATAAAACTCGTTTACTGGGAGTTCTTTTTTTCAATAATTAAAGTAAGTCCAAGCCTTGTTTATATTTTTGTAAAGATTATTTATTTATTACATATACAGTATTCTGCCTGCATGTGTACCTGCACCCCAGAAGAGGGCACCAGATCTCATCACAGATGGTTGTGAGCCACTATGTGGTTGCTGGGAATTGAACTCAGAACCTCTGGAAGAAGAGTCAGTGTTCTTAACCGCTGAGCCATCTCTCCAGCCCCCACCTTGTCCATATTTTGTGAGGACTTGTGAACCCAATAATGCCCCATATGATTTGAGTGCCTGGAATGCAGACATAACAGGTCCACCACTGACCCTACCTAAACATTTGACAGTCCCGATTGCATGTGCAGACGCCGCTCTTGGCTTGTTAGTGACCAGGGCCAGCTCTCCAAAGTACTGTCCCCGAAAACACCGAGCGATTTCCACAGCACCGTTCTCCTCCACTTCTGATTTGCCCTGAGGAGGTAATTAAAGCGAGTTACATTTAAGTCTACCATCATTTTTTTTTTTAAAAATCCATTATTTTCCTTGCTAATATGAGTTTTACCTTTCTTTTCATAGTAATTTTCACTTCTCCAGATTCTACAATGAAAAAAGAATCTGCCAAATCCCCCTATTAAAAGAAAAAAAAAAATAGAGTGAAAAATGAGAATTCCATAGCAACCCTGAAATCATGTCCTTGAAGCCAGTGTACAGATTCCAGTCTGTAAGTGAAGTCTTATTGAAGAGGCCATTTCATCTACGCTCAGAGGTAATGGCTGAATCTTGGCCTTACCCCATCTAAGTGGAGACAAGAGGAGGGAGGGGAAACTGTGGTTGGTATGTAAAATAAATTTTAAAATGATGAAAAAGAGACATTAATTCAAATAGACTAGTACAGCAGACTTTGTGATTTTTTTAAAAAAAAATAATTCAGGCCGGGCGGTGGTGGCGCACGCCTTTAATCCCAGCACTCGGGAGGCAGAGGCAGGCGGATCTCTGTGAGTTCGAGACCAGCCTGGTCTACAAGAGCTAGTTCCAGGACAGGCTCCAAAACCACAGAGAAACCCTGTCTCGAAAAACCAAAATAAATAAATAAATAAATAAATAATTCAGTAGACTGTTGTGATTTTATAAAAAAAACCCACAGAATATTAGAAATCCCCTCAAGTCATGTATGTTTCAAATGTCTACAGAGCCTACTTTCTAGGAGCTCTCTGGCTGACTATGGCGCTGTACACAACCCCGCTGGTTTCCCACAGGGAGAAACCATGTTTAAAAGCATGAGGGTTAGAGGCTAGAGCAGACTTGTATTAACGTATCCAGTGCTTGGATACTGTGCAGCGTGAGCTCTTCTCTGCGAATGTCATCGGGAAGCGGCCGTAGGAGGTCTCAAGACCTGATCATGCAAAACTCTTTATCATCGCCCAGTGGAGCTGGGTTCATGGGAGAGCCACCACTTCCCTTTCGTATATGACATCCTTCTATACATGTGGACTTCACGATACAAACTGTAAAACCACTCAGAGAGTCAGGTAATGGTTTAATGAAAATTCATTTGGAATAAATTATAAAAAGAAAAACATCCAAATTACTTACTGGCTGTAAAAGCATTTTTAGTAAGTTGTTTGGTAGAAGTAATATTCATTAAATCCAACATCGCATGCTGATTATTAAACCAAGTTTAACGAGATTTCTAAGACATTCTTGGATTTAACACTACACGGATTGACATGGTATCATACCTGAGCGATGATCTGTTCTCCGTCGCTGTAAACTTTGGTGCCGATCACATCCACCACCTTCAGGCGTTCAGAAACCTTCAAGGAGAATACAGTATCAGAAAGAAAAAGACAGTAATGGCTGCTCTTGTCAACTGGACTACATCTGGAATTAACTAGAACCCAAATGGTTGAATATACTTCTGAGAAATTTTTTTCTTTTTATATTTTTTTTTCTTATTTACATTGGGGTTTTACCTGCATTCATGTCTGTGTGAAGATGTCAGATCTCCTGGAACTGGAGCTACACAGACAGTTGTGAATTGTTATGTGGGTGCTGGGAGTTAAACCCAGGTCCTTTGGAAGAGCAGTCAGTGCTCTTAACTGCTGAGCCATCTCTCCAGCCCCAGAATTTTTTTCTTAATTAAATACTTGAAGTGATGAAAGATCCACCTTTAATCTGGGCCACACTTGCTGCTGCACTGCCCATAGAAAGAGCAGGAAAGAAGGCAGCGCCCCCTCCCTTTGCATGCTTGCTCTAGCTTCCTTCCCTGGCATTAGAGTCCACTTCTTCAGGATTCTGTCACATATCAAAGACCAGCTGAGCCGGGCAGTGGTGGCGCACACCTTTAATCCCAGCACTTGGGAGGCAGAGGCAGGCGGATCTCTGTGAGTTCGAGACCAGCCTGGTCTACAGAGCTAGTTCCAGGACAGGCTCCAAAAACCACAGAGAAACCCTGTCTCGAAAAAAAAAAAAAACAAAAAAACAAAACAAAAAAAAAAAACCAAAGACCAGCTGACACACCCAGCCGCGTGGACTGAACAACTACTGGGTTCTTAGTTTTCCATTAGTAGGTAGCTATTATTGGACTAGCAGTGCCACAGCCTATAAGATACTACAATAAATCGCATATATAAAGAAGGAGCTGCCATATATATATGTGTGTGTGTATATATACATATATACAGTATTACATATTCGCCATAGGTACAAATGTAATTGTTATATATCAGCATATATTATATATTAAATATCAGCATATATTATATATTAAATAAATTCTCTCTTCCTCCAGCAAACCCTAAGTAATACACAGACCACTTATGTAATCTTACCTATTTTAGACATTTAAAAGGGGCTAGCTATACTGCTAAATAAACTGAACAGTGTTTGCTTGTGTGATTGTTAGATTAACTGCTAGAATTCTCAAATGGAAAAATTTGTATTTCTATATTTTTCCATAAAATAACGGCAGACTGAGACACTCCCAGCCCAGATTTCCATATGGCAGCAATAAAGTAACGGCGGAATGGCAGCTGCTCCCTTAGAGGGAGCACGTGTTCTCCCGTTGCCAAAGTCCCTTCCTGGGTCACATGGCTCAGTTTGACTGGACAGCCTCCCTGATGAGTTCTATTTGAGGACAGGAGCTGCCGGAGAAGTCAACTCCCTCTGCATTCCACAGTGTGGCCAAGGTTCTTCCGGGCATAAACCAGCAACCCTAGAAAGATGCTACTGTGCTGATGTGTGCCATTTTACGGCACCGTAAGACATACATCTATTTCTCTAGAACCAAGGAAATTACAGCAAAGCTGAATTCTTAAGGTAACAATTCTTCCACAAGTGTCTGCCCTCCTAGATAAGAAACAATCGGTCTCATTGAGAAGACATTGGGCTAAGAAATGAAAGAGAATCATGGCGGGTCCATAAAGTTGTGCAGGAAGCTGTTCTAGGCAGATAGCAAGTGCACAGGTCTGAGGTGAGGGCTGGCTTGTTTGTGTCACGGGAAGAAGCTAGTGTGTGAGGCAGGAAGAATGTGGAGCAGTAGGAATGTTGTCAGAGGGACCCAGGCGGGGCAGGATACTGGGCAGGTCCTCAGGGGCCATCAAAGTTATCCTGTCCTGGAAGGGTGGATAACAGAAGGCAAAGGAGGTCTAGGACCCACAGGCTCCTGTAGATGTCTGATAAAAGTCATACGAGAGTTAATGATGATACAGACAGTGGTGATACTGATGAAGGTAGTGGAAGATGACTGGATATTACAGATATTCTGAAGAATGACACCCATAGGTTCCCAGTTGGTGGCACCGTTTGGATAGGATTCAGAAGTGTGACCTAGCTGGGGGCAGGCTTTGAGCTATTCTCTGTATGCATTCTGTCTCACCGTTATGGATCAAAATGTAAGACCAACTGTTCCTGCTGCCATGCCTTTGCTCCATGATCATGGACTCTGAAACTGCAGGCCCAATTTATTCAATGTTTTCTTTCATAAATTGCCTGGTCAGGGTATCTTACTACAGCGACAGAAACATAACAAGACGAAGAGCAAAAAGGGTGATTTGGGGCATATGGTCCAGGATAAGATGTGCACAGGTATCTGACAGAAGGTGTTAAATTAGTAGTGGACAGTGAGGATCATTTTAGGGGGAACTTATAAGGCCTGAGGTTTGAAATATGTGAGATTCATATTTCAAATTCTCACATACCAAGTAAGTGTGTGTAGGTACATTAGAAACCCAGGCTGAGGAATGCCAACTTTAAAAGTGGTGAGAAAGGGGAACAAGCAGTAACAACCCTGGGGGTTGGGGTGGGGCAGTGAGGACCTCCTGGGTTTAGGTAGTTCCTCCCTGTAAAGGGATAACCAGCAGTTAACTCTTTATGCTATTAGATAAATGGCACCTATAAATTTGCTATAGACTCTAGATAAGAGCCTTATTTTCCAATCACAATAATAAAATGTACTTATAGGCAGTAAAAGAGCTAGCAATGAAACCTAATGTCACTATCTGTTCTTTTCATAGGAAAATATGAAAAGACATTAAAAATTATCATTTTTACTGTGGGGGTACTACAGCACACACTGTGTGGAGATCAGGAGACCTTTCCACCTTTATGTGTGAACTGGAGTTGCCAACACGGTTAGCTTTTTTTATCAGCTGGGCCTCCTCACTAGACAGTCTAAACAAAGCAGCCTCCACAGTACGGGGGTGGGGGTGGGGGGCAGCCATGATAAGCTAAGTCTGGGCAGGTCACCCAAAGGAAGTTCTTTACTTCCCACCATTATCACCTGCCAGAGTAGGACTAAGCCCTCGATAAATTTAATAAGAGGCCTGAGTCTCAGTAGTTTACCCTGAAGCAATACCTGGTAGCAGAAAGAACCACAAGCTGAGATAACCCTACCCCCACCCAGGAGCAGACCATTCAAAGGAAAAGCCTGACATTCCAACCTCCGTAGATAGGATCACCTGCCAGCACACTCACCAGGACACCCCTAGACAAATGTCAGCCAATCAGGGGTCCTGAACCTCAGAGAACTCCTCACCCCCACCTTTACTACTATAAAAACCCAATTCTAACAGAGCTCGGGGTTCTCCAGTTATTCCAATACATTGGACATGTGGAGAGACCTTTGCAAACTTGATTTAAATAAAGGCTCTTTGCTTTAATATACCGGACTCTTGATTTCCTTGTTGGCTTTTGCGGGAACTTGGCGGATTTGGTGTAACACTCACCTCCAGGGACTTGAGGAATGGCAGCGACTCAATAAAGCTTTCATACATCTTTCTCTTTTTGGCATTGTTTTTTACAATTATTCTCCTGAAGGTTACCCTGTCCTAAAGAGAGAGTAGTAAACACAAATGCAGTTAAAATCTGAACAAGTACTCCCATTCCCTTCAAGGATTACACAATAATTGATGACGTTAAAGTTAAAGATTATATCATGATTAGACTCTCAACTAATTTCATATTTTTATTTCTTTGAGCACAAAATTTACTGTATACATTTTTTTCCCCTTTATTTTCTTAGAAAAAGAAGCACTCATCCAGGCAATGGCGGTACAGCATTAAGGAGGCAGAGGCAGGCGGCTCTCTGAATTAGAAGCCAACCTGGTCTACAGAATGAGTTCCAGGGCAGGCAGAGCCACACAGAAAAACCCTGTCTCAAAAAGGGGGGTGGGAATTTAAGGGGAAGAAGAGGAAGAAGGAGAAGAGGAATGGGAAGGGAAGGGAAAGGAAGGGAGAGCGGGAGAGGGAGAGAGAGAAAAAAGAGAAAGAGACAGAGAGAGAGATAAGCATTCTTTAGATTAGTGGTTCTCAACCTGTGGGTAGTGACCCCTTTGGGGGCTGAATGACCCTTTCATGTGGGTCGCATATCAGATATCTTGCATTTCAGATATTTACATTAAGATTTAGAACAATATCAAAATTAGTTATGAAGAGCAACAAAAATAACTTTATCATTGGGGATCACCACAACATGAGGAACTACCTTAAAGGGTCACAGCATTAGGAAGCTGAGATCCCGTGCTGTATTGAAGGTCACAGTGTTAGGATGTCGAGAAGCACTGCTTTAGAAACAGATTCTGACCAGCACGCTGGGCTCTATGCCCACATGGAGGCACTGTCACACTATAAAAATATATACCAATACCATTCCCTCACTGTAGATGGCAGGGTTGTTGCAAAATCAATTAAGTAGATAGGACCGAACCTGGGTTTAGCATTGTTTTAAGTATTTACTTCAGTCAGTCACAGACACAGTTAAATGTGACATTCCTGAAGTATACATACACTGAGGTAAGAACTACAAGAAACACTAGTTGAAAAGAAGTCATCCATAAAGAATTGATAATGTAAGCATTCTTAAAAATACATGTTTATACTAGTGGTGGTGGCACACACCTTTAATATCAGCACTTGGGAGGCAGAAGCAGGTGCATCTCTTAAGTTCAAGGCCAGCCAGGGCTACACAGTGAAACCCTTTCTTGAAAAACCACAAAAATAAACAAAAAATACATATTAGTTTTCTTCAGACTCACATAATATCACAATTTTCCTTTTAACAATGAAGGTACAAAAAAACCCTATATTCTTTTTTTTTAATATTTTTTTTTGTTTTTTGTTTTTTTTTTTGTTTGTTTGTTTTTTTGTTTTTCGAGACAGGGTTTCTCTGTGGCTTTGGAGCCTGTCCTGGAACTAGCTCTGTAGACCAGGTTGGTCTCGAACTCACAGAGATCCGCCTGCCTCTGCCTCCCGAGTGCTGGGATTAAAGGCGTGCGCCACCACCGCCCGGCTAAAACCCTATATTCTTGACTGGGGTCTTAGTCTAGACTTTATCATGTTTACAGTCTAAATTCTTTTTTTAAAAAAAAATAGCTCAAAAGCTATTTTCCCCTAAAAATTTTATGTTGCAAAAATTCTCATAAAATGTTTTTATTCTTAAGTAAATAGCTCCATAATCACATAGTTTGGCATTCACCAATGAGTAACTATACCACTTTAGTAAGATTAAAACTGGGTATTATGTAATAGCTTGATATGCCAACATTTTATGGATACAACTCTAACAATGATGAACTATATGTGTCCCCTCCCCAAAGTCCCAATCCTAAACCTGAGCATGCTGGTATTAGGAGATGGCCTTAGGTGATTAGGCCAAGAGTTTGGAGTTGTCCTGAGCAGAATTAAGTAATTCTCATAAAAGACCCTTGAAACTGTCGTGCCCCTTCCACCAAATGCAACAACATGGCCATCTAGGAACCGCCCCTAGACACGCAAAGCTCTTGTGGTTCTTAGCCTCCAAAACAGTAAGGCAAGAATGCCTGTGCCAGCTGTGGTGAGTTGAGGTAACAGCCAGACAGAATGAGACACTAAGAAATTAGACAGCCTGTTTCCAAGTTAATTACTACTTTGATGCCAGCTGTACTCTGGATTTGTACTTCCTAATGTTTTAAAAAAGACAGTGCCCGGGCCAGCAAGATGGCTCACCAGGTAAAGGCACCAACTACCAAGCTTACTGACCTGAGTTCTATCAGCAGGACACAAATGGCCTCCACACGTGTCCCCAAATACACACAAAGTAAAAAGTAAATGCATACTGCATGGTGGTGGCACACACCTCAATCCCAGCACTCAGGAGGCAGAGGCAGGCAGATCTCTGTGAGTTTGAGACCAGTCTGATCTAATAATGCAAGTTCTGGGACAGCCAGGGCTACACAGAGAAACTCTGCCTCAAAAACAAAAACAAAAGAGAAAGTAAATGCAATAAAATCCTATTTTTAATTTTAAGAGTTCAGAATTTGCTGAGGTAATTTCTAAAACCAAAGATTTGAGTGGCTCAGAATCTCTACATCTGGCTAAACTTTTACATCTATGAAAGTGTCCCGTGTGAGCGTCACAGATAGTCAGGTTTGGGAAGCAGGCACATTTTATGGACAGACTTTGTTTTTGTTAAAACAGAGACGGTCTGAAATAGTTTAGCCACTTAGAACAAATCATGAGTTCTACCTCTGGGGGAAAACTGTCTATTAAAGGCCCCATTACCCACTGTGGCCCAGCAAGTCCAGGAAGCCCAGTCTCAAAGGCTTTTATCCCACCCATCGCTTTAGCCTTCGTCTAGAACCTCCAGACTGAAGGCAGTAGGTGCTATTTAGGGTAGGGCTCTCAGAGAAGGCCCCTCTTTACATCGGCACTGACGGCCGGCCGTGGGGCTGCAGCCTATGGATCTCACGATTTCCTTTCCGCCTAACTTTCCCTAGAAGGGACTGGTTATCCAAACTGATCTTAAAAAGCAAGTTTCAATACAACAAAAGTACTTTATTATCATTTTTAAGGATATTGTATTTATATGCATGCAAAAGAAACTACACCCCCCCTTTTAAAGATTTATGTATTTATTATCTATACAGTGTTCTTCCTGCATGTGTGCCTGCAGGCCAGAAGAGGGCACCGATCTTATTACAGATGGTTGTGAGCCACCATGTGGTTGCTGTGAACTGAACTCAGGACCTTTGGAAGAGCAGCTAGCTGAGCCATTTCTCCAGCCCGAAACTACCCCTTTCTATAAATGTTATTAACATGTACAAGCTACCAAAAAAAAAATCTCTGAAAAACGTTTCTTAAATGCTTAAGGACTGTGCACATGAACCCCCAGAGCTTTTGTGTGTTCGTTACTGTAACCACCAGGGCTTACACTATCGGTGATCAGGGCGAATCTGGTAATGTGTGATCTTGGACAGGATGCGTGAGGAGTCCTCATTACTATCTGACACTCTAGCTGGTGTCTCCGGTGAGATGGCTCCATTTTCAGCTACACCCTCTGGAATAGGCAGGTCATGGCAGACACAAGATGAAGCCCAATACCGCAAGGCCTGGCAAATGCTTCCTGCACTGGTCTGCTCTGGTGTGACGGCTCTCAGTTGGTTTTGGACTTTCTGATCTGAGAACCCTTAACACACTCAGGTGATGAGCTTCTCCCCATGAGACTCTCCACTTCCACCCCGTAATTCCTAAAGCTGACTGTTGAGAAGGTAGACAGAAACTGTTTGGCTCCAATAAAAAAAAAGGAGTTTTCGGTATCCAGCATCTTTGAGTGAGACGTTTTTATGAGCTAAACCAACTTCTGAGCCAAATGCACATTCTGTGACCCTTCACCCCTTTGTTAAAGCCCTTCTTTGGCCAGGCCGTGGGACAAACCTTTAACCCCAGCACTCGGGAGTCAAGGGCAGACGGATTTCTGAGTTCCAAGACATCCAAGGCTATGCAGAGAAACCCTGTTTCAAAGACAAACAAGCAAAAAACAACCTCTTCTACAGAGACCCAGGGAAATAACTTAACAACTGCTTGTCGAGAACACGGGACGTGCTGTTTTTGTTTCAGACATTCCTGTCGATCACTGCTGCCTAAGTGAAGGCTGAGAGCAGGCAGTGCGGACACCTCCGGTGAGCTGATGAATACACACAGCTCGGGCTCACCTCAGTCCCACAGAAGTGCAATCTACACACCCTGCAGGGTGCTGAGTGGATTCCCAGGGTCATCTGCACACTTGCCAGACGGAGTCTGAGAACCCTGATGCCTTCCAGAATCAGTTGTTCTGTTCTGTACTATGGCACCATGTGAGAAAGAATCCCACCCCACCCCTTCCCTAGCCCTCAGCCAAATGTGTCTATCACCCAATGTCTACAGAATTTCTACCGTTAAGACATTTATTTAAAGATAGAGACTGAGGAGCTCTTGTCTTGAGACCAGAAGTGTTTCAAATTTTAGACACTAATCCTTCCCATTAGTGTTTCCACCCAGATAGTGAAACCTCCTAACAAAACAGCTTGGGAGCACGTCTCAAGTCTAAACAAAACATTCATACATAGCTCATGTGTATCTCATAGGCGTGGTCTGAAGATAACTGATAAGTATTCATAATGTGCTTATACTTTGACTGAACAGTAACAGGTATGGAACTTTACAGTTCTGGCACCATGTTGGTACTCAAAAAGTTCTGGGCTGGAGACATTTCAAAGTCTCCAGGTTGGGAATGCTTAGTCCATACCAAAATCTGGGTCCCACTCAAAAGAGAATGATTAGATTTGTATAGAATCGAGGCAATTTTTTTTTAATATCCCAAGTGAAAAACACAGATACCATTTTTTTTTTTTTTTGCAGTACATAGCTGCTCTTGAGTGCAAACATGTTACCAATCAGTCGACACCATCAAGATAATTGCCTTTCAGTGTTTTTTCAAGCTGCAGCAACATCAGAATTGCCTGGAAGGCTTCAGAGTCTGCAGAAGTGCCGGTCCCTTCTCCAGAGCTCTTGGTGCAGCAGTCAGAATTAATAGGAGGAGGCCTAATATGTGTGCGTCAACAAGTTTCCGGTTGTGACTTTCAGTTTTCACTCTGAAAATCACTAATTTATCTGACTATACCTCAGAGAGCTACCTGAGAAAAATACACGTGCACACGTGTGTGTGTGTGTGTGTGTGCGTGTGTGTGTGTGTGTGTTTGTGTATTCATAATTGCTAGTGAGGGTGTGTGCATATGTGTGCCCCGATGCTTATGCACACATACATACAGAGGGCAGAGACAGATGCCAGGTGTCCTTTGTGAGTTGCCAGGCGCCTTTGAGACGCGGTGTCTTACTGAACTGGCTAACCAACAAGCTTTGGGGATGTTCAGGCCCCCTGCCCCTTGTCTCCAGACCCCTCCCCTGTGCGTGACTTTTTACATGGGTTCTGGGAATCTGAATTCAGACCTTCTTGTTTAGCAGTCACCTTAGGGACTGGGTCATCTCTCCAGCTGTTGAGGCTCATGGTTTCTAAGTGTGGATAAGAGGGGAACACTTTGGATCTGATGTCATTCTAAGGGCCAGCATATCCAAGCCCCTGACTTGGGAAGAGGCAGGACATAAGTCTTTGATTTAGCCCAGTCTTTGTGCCCAACAGCGCAGCATCTAGAAGATAGTTAATAAACACTTAGATCAGGTCAATTCTTTACTTACCAAACCCCACAGAGCACCAGGAGAGGTAGCTGTGATTGTAGCCGCTCTGGGTGTATTGTACATTAAGGCCAGTTCTCCAAAACTCCCACGGTTGTCGTAGTTACCGACACATCTTCCAACACCGTCACATTTTACATAGATATCAAATGTTCCTCTGTTGGACATAGACACATCATATTAAGTTAAAGACAAAGAGATTCGGGGAACATTTCATTACCGTGGGTATTACTGCAGAGAAGAGCCCTGTACACTGATTTCCTGCCTGCTCTGCCCTCTGATAACAGCAAGTGCTGGTCTGTTCCAACTGGACAAGGGCAGAGACAATGAATGGTGGAAAGAACTAAGCAACAAAATCTTAAAATTAATGATAGAATATGTGCAGAAAGCCGTCGGTGGGAACAAAGTTCAAACACTACTGTACTTAGTAAGAACTGTGAAGGATTTCAGGGCACTGACCAAGGAACAATACTTCATATTTCTAAAAGAAATGTATATTGCTTTTGACATCCAAAGAAAATAGGTACTTTTTAAAAGACTATAGCTCTAACAACTTGCTGACAAGTCTTTCATAAACTATAGCAGGAATTGGCACCCCAGTTTGCCAAAAAAAAAAAAAAAAACCAGTCTTATTAGAAAACAAACTTTTTCTTTATTTATGTTACATGGCTGGTTTGGGTTACAAGCAGAATTGAATCCTTAGATCACACTGGCCCACAAGGCCTCCCTGACCCTTCACTTTCGGTCAATCACAACCTGCAGCTGAGAAGTGGCAGCGTCAGACCCAGCCTCTGGCTGGCCTTCCTGTAGGGTCGACTCCGTGTGCATGTCCCTGCACTAACCGAGCTATTCCTTCTGCACAGGACCATCTCCCCACCTACTGCACTTCAACAGAAGCCACGTTTCAAGGCTGGCACACGTGTGAGGCAGACAAGAGTTCTGTCGCTATATCCTATGAGGTAAATCCTACAAAAAAGGATGTGTCAGTGGCAAAAAGGGATGGCTTTTAAGGGTTAGAAAAGGATTATTAAGTAGAAAAGAGATAGAAACAAAAGACATTAATAAGGGAGAAGATTGTTGTCTTCTTAATGGATAGAATGACGCATGTGAGGGTACCTCCTAGCATTTGTTCAATGCACAATAATTTCTAAACTATTCATCTAAAATCTGCCGTATAGTCCCCTTTTCTTTCGTCACTGACACTCCTTTCTAGATTTACCATTCTGGATAGGATAAAATGACCAACAAAATGGTATGGAGAGAGTAAAACATGCTACCAGCTCCGGTAGGGGCCCTCAGTGGGCAGTCTGTTAGAGGGGCTGCTTTGCATACTGATCCCCTCCCTGACACCATGAGTTGTCAGGCGGTGCTGGCCAGAGCCATGAGCGTGAACACGAGTGGGGGACAGAGAACCTGGCTGTGGGTCAGATGCACGGCCAGGGTGACCTCAAGCAAGCCCTGTCACTTCTGTGAACCAGAGTGTTTCATCTGCAGTGGGTCATTGGGTTCTAACGGGAAGAGAACGTACTGGGCTCTAATGTAAAGCAGGTTCAGTAGTCATCAATGCTGACTGAGCCTGGCTTCTCACTCAGTCACAATGATGGCTGAGATTGTACACAACACATTTTTTTAAACGTCAGTTGTAAAGCTGGATGAAACTTACCTATCAATGACGTAAAAGTTGTCACCATCATCACCTTGATCGATTACATGCTCCCCTTCTTTGACCAGTTTTTCAAACATGGCATCTAACACTTGAGACATCTGCTCCTATATTTTAAAGAGATAAGATGTCTTTAAGTGCATCAAGAACACAGTTTCTCAAGGAATCACACAATCTCTGGTTTTGTGGACGATTTCTAGGAAATCAGAATATCATTACCATTGAGTTTTATCAGAAAAGTCAGTATCCCTCACCACATACAAATGAGAGCACTATTGATTCTCATATTCAACATCTGAATGAAAGTGATGATATCCATCTACTTGAGAACATTTGTAACTATCACCACTTCACATGAAGAAAGAATTACTAAACTGCCACACATCTGGAGGAAGAAAAAAAAACAAAAATAATTAGGGTGGAAATGAACTGTTTCAAATTTTCTTAAGCTGTCTGCTCTCAAAACCTCCTACTGCTCATTGCGTGAATTAGTGTGGAGGCTCCTAAATACCTAGTGAGATTACATCCTGCCTTCAGTTCTACAGCTTGTTCCCGTGCCCAAAACAAAACACAGACTGGGGTGGAGGGCAGCTAAACAGTAGCAACAGAAGACTCCAGCACACATTCTGCCAGTCTTTCTGTCATTACATTTGTCTTCAGAAACCGACCGTCTCCGTCTCCTGGGAAAGGTCTTTATAAATTGCAAAACTATATTTAATAGTGTTGGAGTGGCCAATGAGCACAGTGTAGAAAATATTCAGAATAAAATTATGTGGTCCATGAGGGTGAAGCTAAAACGTGGGGATAAAAACACGCTGGACGGTTTAAAGGCGTACGTGGGTCAGGTACCTTCCTATAAAGTTCCTTTACTCCCAGACACAATGCTTAGCGGCCCAGACTGGACTTAATTTCCCAAACAAGGGAGCAGAGAGAGATGAAACAACCCAGAGAGAGCTTGTACAGACACACCAAATACCAGCACAGAAAGCAAGCCCAGAAAACTTGCTAGGACGAGGGCCCCCGGGTGTGACACCTGAGCTCACAGACTGCCCTACTTCCTCAGGCCTGACAATCAGTTGTTTGTTGAAAGTCTTAACACAACCACACACAGTAGAGGTCTCAGGAGCAGAAGAGAGCTTTCAGACAGTGCTGCTTGTCCACCCAGAGATGGCTCGGGGTGATATTATACTCACAGACTCACAGCATAACTAAAGGATCCTGACAAAAATCTTAAAACATGACTGCTAAATTTTTCCCTCTTAAAATTAACCTCTTGAGCAGTTTTAGGTCCATGGGTGCACTGAGACAGTCTCACAGGACTTCACAATTCCTTCCCCACAATTAACGACCCCCAGCGTGATGGTAGGTTTGCTACACCTGATCTTCACTCAGAGACCCAATGACCCAAAGTCTGCATTTACATTAAGGTTTGCTCTTGGTATAGGTATGACAAATGCCACCCAACTGAATATTTTAATAAAATAAGAAAGAATAAAATCCAAACCACAAAGTCAACAAAGAAAAGAAAAAGTCCAGAGAAAACAGAAAATGAAGAAATATGGAATAAACTTTCCAGGACGGAAAGTTTTTCAGGCTGAAAGGGAGCATTAAGGAGCCCAGTTAAGCCAATGAACAAAACCCAAGTCTAGGTTGAGTCTAGGATGCCACTGTGCTTCTGGGGAGGGGTGTGTCTTAAAATAATTTTGAAAAAGGATGCCCAGCTTCTCTCAAAAATGAAGAGAAATGCAAATTAAGATTGAAATAAGATATCACTTTTCTCACATACCCACTTATCAGATCTGAAAAGATTCAGACTCGAGGATAGAGCTCTGTATTGGAGTCATCATGAGGAAGAAACACTTCCACAGTCTTCTACGAAAAAGTACACACGTAATAAACACTACAGAAACAACCCAGTGCCTGGAGGTGGTGGCGCACACCTTTAATCCCAGCACTCCAGAAGCAGAAGCAGGTGGATCTCTTGAGTTTGAAGCCAGGCTAGTCTACAGAGTGAGTTCCAGGACAGCCAGAACTACATAGAGATCCCAGTGTGTGTGTGTGTGTGTGTGTGTGTGTGTGTGAGAGAGAGAGAGAGAGAGAGAGAGAGAGAGAGAGAGAGGAAGAAGAAGAAGAAGGAGGAGGAGGAGGAGGAGGAGGAGGAGGAGGAGGAGGAGGAAGAGGAAGAGAAGAAAGAACAGGAAAACAAAGAAACTTGGCAATGTTTAGTAAGGCTTCAAATGCACACCCTCCACCCTGACTCCTCCTTCTCTGGCAGGACACTCAGAAAGGAGGCAAGTGAAATGTTAAAAACCTGCCATTAGCGGAACAGGCTGAGGGAGGGGCATTCAGGAGAGAGAAGTCCTACATAGGAACCCACCATCTGTCACACCAGGCAGGTCCAGCGGCCAGCATGGGGCCACAGGGTTTCGTGGCGGTTTTAACACTGTGTAAAGATCTGCCTCAGAATGAGAGATGTGAAGCAATCAGAGTTGTTCTGCAAAGACAATGCTTCTGCAGCTGCAGGCGAATGCAGACTTTCCCAAGCAGGGAAGTGCTTTTCAAACTTGCTGAGCTCAGGGCTTCTTGAGGAGGGACTTCATTCTAAAAATGGTTGATTTAAACTTTATCCTCAAAGTATGACCTCCCCACCCCCCCACCCCGCCAGACAGGGTTTCTCTGCAGCTTTGGAGCCTGTCCGGGAACTAGCCTTTGTAGACCAGGCTGGCCTCAAACTCACAGAGATCTGCCTGCCTCTGCCTCCTGAGTGCTGGGATTAAAGGTGTGCTCTACCATCGTCTGGTCCTCACAGTATGTTTTAGCCATTACGTTTTTATATTAGTTTTTAAAGTAAGAGTACCAACTACTGGATTTCATCACGGATTTCCTATAGAGTCATTATCTCTTCTAATTGTGTTCCTCCATGACCGTCCCTCTGCTTCTGGCCTCCTTTGACTGACTCGTTCCTTTCCATCTCCCAGTCTTCCCTTTGCTTTCAGTCCACTCACGTTCTGTTACCCTTCTCTTTTACCCCCTCATGTTTATGTATATGATTATGTATATATATAGAATATCACACACACACACACACACACACACACACACACACACACACCTCTGATATATCCATCTTCCCTCCTGATTTCCCTTTCTACCCCCTGCCCCATATATATGGATTCTAGAAGTATCTGGACTGGCTTATATCACCCAGCATAATGATTTCCAGTTTTATTCTTTTTCCTGAAAACATGCTTTAGTCCTTTACAACAGCTAGTGAATGAAAAAATTAACAGAAATTAGCATGCCTGAACTAATGCATAGAGGTCTTATTATTTTTCAGAGGACTTGCAAGTTCCTAGCAGACAGTGAGGGAGGCATTTCTCCGATGCTCCTTGCCCCCATCCATGGACAAGCCTCCCCGAGCACAGACTTAAATTAGCTGATTTAAACCTCATCCTCAAAGTATGCTTTAGCCACAGACACCACTCCATCTGCTGCTCTGCACCTACAAAAGCATCGCATTGCCACTCTCTTAGGTTTAAAAGTACCAGTGACACAGCTAGGGTTACCCCAATAATGCTCTGAACCCAGCTGTTCATCGCTCCCATCCCTCAACTCCTGGTCACCGCCGAGTTTATATTTCTGACCCCATCATTTCCTGTTACGAATGTCTTGACAGTTAGAATCAGGTAGGTCTATCCTTTTCACACTGGCCTCTTTCACTTATTAATGTATGTTTCCTCCATGGCTTCCCATGGCTTCACCAGCTCACTTCTTTTTACTACATTATATTCCGCTGTCTGAATGGACTATTGCTTATCCGTTCATCCACTGAAGGACATCTTGGTGGCTCCCAACCTTGGGCAATTATAAACAAAGCTGCTATGAACAACTGTATCCTGATTTTTTGGGTGAATGTTAGGTTTTTACATCTCTGGGCAAATACAGAGGAGCAGAAGAATTGGAGTATAGGAAAATAGTGAAGTAGACACCGCCAAACCACTTCTAAAGGGGCTAAACCACTTTGAATCCCCACCAGCCATGAGCCAGAGTTCCTGTTGCTTCACGCCTTCAACAGCATTCAGTGATATCAGGGTTCTGGATTTGGGCTGTTTGATGGGTGTATCTCACTGTTTTTGATTTGCTTTTCCCTGGTGACAAAGGATACTGAGCATCAACCCTCCCTATGTGGTTCTAAAATATTTTGATTATCCCAAAAGGAAATCCTGCATCTATTAAGTACACATTTGCTATTTTCATGGTCCTCTAGCTCCTTAGAAACCATGATCTATTTATTCTCTATGTAGATATCTATTTTCTGAATATTTTATGCTGTGGGATAATGATCTTTGCACACTGTACAGTCTGTCACTCGTATTAGTTTATTTTATTTTATTTTATTTATTTATTTATTTTTTTTTGGTTTTTCGAGACAGGGTTTCTCTGTGGCTTTGGAGCCTGTCCTGGAACTAGCTCTGTAGACCAGGCTGGGCTCGAACTCACAGAGATCTGCCTGCCTCTGCCTCCCGAGTGCTGGGATTAAAGGCGTGCGCCACCATCACCCGGCTTCGTATTAGTTTAATAAAACACTGATTGACCATTACTCAGGCAGAAAGTATGAGCAGGAGGATCAGACTAGGAGAATTCTGGGAAGAAGAAAGGCAGAGAGTCAGTCACCAGACAGATGCAGAGGAAGCAAGATGAGAACGCCTTACTAAGAAAAGGTACCAAGCCATGTGACTAAGCATATATAAGAATTGTGGGTTAAGTTGTAAGAGCTAGTTAGTAACAAGTCTGAGCAATAGGCCAAATGGTTTATAATTAATATAAGCTTCTGTGTGTTTATTTGAGACTGAATGGCTGTGGGACCAGGCAGGACAGAAACTTCGGTCTACAGAATGACAAAGCGTGTTTTCTTGCATCTAGCTCACTTCACTTAACATGTTGTCTTCAAAGCTCATGTAGCATAATAAACAATATGTGAATACATTCCCCACCCAATTTCTATTCCATTGTATGTGACAACCTTATCTGCTGATCTATCTTACCAGTCTTGATCTAAGTTCCAACCAGGTTGTTGCTTACTGCTATGTTGTAAAACTTATTGGTG